TTTACATTTCAGCTTTCTCCTCTCTATGTGAAGCATTGAGAAAGCTGGTTTTGAGATATTTGGAATATTCATTTTTGACCAGGGCTAATGAATAACAGCTTGAAGGCAGAGGTGATTTTAGAGGAAAAATTTCCTGGACCTTTCCTGAACGCTAGCAGGCTGCATGAGACCATTCCTTTGAGAAAAAGCCCCATCAGCAAATCATCTTTCCTTCTACTGAAAGTTTACTCCCAAGTGGCTCCCCCCATTATAAATAATACATTGTAAAATACAGAAAGAAGAACAATAAAGTAGGAATCATTCATAACCCTACTGAGAAAACCACACTGAACGCTTGATGAATTTACTTTAAAAATATATGTTTGTTTGTCTCAAGAGTTGTTCAGCAGTGGCATGAGTGACTTTTTGGTCCAGGATTCTTTGTTTTGGGAAGCTGTCCTCACTGTCACAGGATGTTGGGCATCATCCCTGGTCTCTACTCCCTGAATGCCAGTAGCTGTCTAAGTTCCCCCTCAAACCCACTAGCTTTTTGTTTTTGTTTTTTGAGACAGAGTCTCCCTATGTTGCCCAGGCTGGCCCCGAACTCTTGGACTCATGCAAGCCTTCTGCCTCCACACCTGGCTCAACTCCCTCATTTTACCAATTGAGAATGTTACCCTGGTTAAGAAGCAACTGGTGTCTATGTGCGTTTGTATTTTTACTCAGTTGTAGTCCACCTCTGATGGTTAAGGTTGGAATCCAGCACAGACTAAAAGAGAAATAAATTATAGACCCTCATTTGTTATGGTGTTGTAGTCATTGTGCCCAGAGTTAGAATGTCTGTGATAAAATGAATTATTTACAGGCTCAAAATCGTTTCATAAAATGCTTACTTTCTAGTTGGATTTTGTCTGTAATGGTTTGTTTTGATAAAAAACTGTTAGAATTGAGAAGTTGTCTTTCTGGAATACTCACTATACAGGCATTTATAGCTGAGCTATTTTTATCAGCTGTAATGAAAGTGAAACTGGTGTTTGAAATAATTTTCTAAATACTCCATCTCTACTAAATGTACACTTTTTATAGATGATCTTACTCTGCATATACCTGGGCAGGGATAAGGGATATATGTATCTCTCAGCTGCACAGAGTTTGGGAGAAAGTTATTTTTAAGGAATTAAAAGTGTTTTTGAAATTTCTTTGAAAAGGTTCCACTGTGTGTCATAGACAGTATGTGGAAAAGAGAATGTTTATAGGTGTTTGAGGGTTTTTGGCTTAATTAACCAGGAGATTGAGTTCCTTTCGTTTAAGAAGGCTAAGAGATGCCTTTGGAACCTAAGGGTTACAATGATGGGCAGAATAGGAACATGAGAGGTGGTGGCATTCCTTAAACATAATACTAACCTTTGCCAACACTGTTTATATAGTTATTTGTTTTGGAAGTGTTTCCTGTTGATTGTTTTCTCTTTCTTTTCCTGATATAGTTATGATTAGGAACTTGAATAACTCATCATTAATAAAACCATATATAATGATTGAATTGTCAGGAACTGTCAGGCCTCTTGGGTATGAATCCTGGCTCTTATCCTTTCTACCTCTGTTAATTTACCTTTGTGTGTGTATGTGTTCAAGTGCGCGCTGGGGATTGAACCCAGAGCTTTCCACATGCTAAGCTTCTATCACTGAACTACATTTCCAGCCTCAGTTCATCTCTCTGTTCTCCATTTTCTTACCTGCAAAGTGTATGTCTGTGTGTGGGGGTGGGGGTGGTGGTGATGGTGCTGATTTGACAGGTTCGTGATGATTATGTGCCTTGAACTTAGCACCTGATGTAGATTGCCTAGCATTTTGGTGGTCTCTCAGCTGACCCATAGATGTCATCGATCTAGGACATAAATAGTTTTTCTGCTTTGAAGGGGCTGAACCAGTACAGATAACTCAGTACTTGTGTTCTGTGATTATATAGATAAGTTTTATTGTTGTCTTCTTTTTTTTTTGCAGTGTTGAGGATTGAACCCAGGGTCTTGTACATGCTAGGCAAGTCCTGTACCACTGAGCTAAGTCCTCAGCCCTATGAAAACTGTGATTTTAATTCTTGAGTTTATAGAATTTTTTTCTTCCGATTCTCCTTCAGCACACTGACTGTAAAAGTGGTAATGGTAACAAGTATTTTCATTAGCTTCTTTGTCAAGAGGCAGCTCCGTTGTGGTTGTGTGCCCTCTTATTTCATTTTTGAGGCCAGAATAGTGTGTGATTTCTTATGATCCATACAGGGTGACATGCACTTTGACGTGCTCTGGCCTTCAAGGACCTTGTCTGACCTTGTCTTCTGCTCTAGTCAGTCCTCTGGGATTCTCCCTCCAGCTTGACCCTTGACTGAGTGAACCCCGTACCTTATCTTGCTGAATGAATGCTTGCTACTGTTATGCTAGTGGCTCAGGGCTAGTTCTTCATGACACCTAACTTGCAATGACGTTGACATAATTTCTCCCCCCTTTTTTTCTGGTGCTGGGGATGGAATACTGGGCCTCACTCCTGCTAGGCAAGGGCTCTACCATTGAGCTCTACCTCTAACCTCAACATTTCAAACCTTCTTTTGAGTTTCTTATAGTGTCTTTTGAGTGTCTGAATTTTTCCCTTTGTCTTGTATGTGTCTTGTTACCCCAACTGGGTTCTCAGTAAGAGGGTCTGGGGCCAGGCATGCTGGTGAACGTCTATAATCCCAGTGGCTGGGGAGGCTGAAGCAGGAGGATCGTGAGTTCAAAGCCGGCCACAGCAACTTAGTGATTCCCTGAGCAACTCAGCGAGACCTTGTCTCTAAATTAAAAAAAAAAAAATATATATATATATATATATATATAAAAGGGCAGAGGATGTGGCTCAGTGGTTAAGTGCTATTGGGTTCAATCCCTGAAACCAAAAAAAAAAAAAAGGGGGGGTGTATCTGGAGGCTGCTGAGTTTTGGGACCCTGTTGTGGCCAGTGTTGTGCATACAGTAGGCATTCAGTCGTTAGCTCATGAAGCCTTCCTAGTGGAGGAGAGGCAGCTGTCAGTGCCTTGCCCTGTGCCCCATTTGTGAGTTTAGGACAGTTCTGATGGTGGCAGGTAAAATGACTTTAGTATTGATTTCCTATTATTATCATTATCAGTTATCCGTTATTGTTATATTTTGGAATTGGAGATTGAACCCAGGATTGCTTTAATCACTGAGCAATATCCCCAGTTCTTTTTATTTTTGAGACTGTATCTCACTGAGTTGCTGAGGCTGGCCCTGAACTTGGAAGCCTCCTGTCTCCGCCTCCCAAGTTACAGGTATGTGCCACTGTACCTGGCTCCTATTATTGCTTGATATTTTTGTGTCAGTCCTCTTAGTAAGAAGGGCAGCCTAGAACCTGTTCTTCCAATCCATTGAGACTGGTCCATGAAGACTCACTGCTGATGCTCCCTGTCGCTGGTTAGGGATGTGGAGGCGGAGAAGGTGCTGAGCAGGAGCCACTGAGCAGCAGACTCAGGAGCCTGCTGGGCCTGGGCTGGGCTGGCTCAGTGCTGTTCTTAGGCCTGTTTGTTCATTTAGCAAACACTGACCTTGGCCTGGCCCTGCCCAACCCCTGGGATCCAGTGATGAATGAGAAAAGCTCTGCCTTTAAAAAGACCATGTCCTGTTGGTGTTCTCCCCTTTTCAGTCTGAGGGTGTAGATAACGGAAATTGGTAGAAAGTGAAACAGGAAATGGTACGCTGAACCTTCGGGTCCTTTTTATTATTTCAGGTACTGGGTTATGTAATAACATCTTTCTCCAGTCAGTGAATCATTGACTAGTATTTGGAAATCTTTTTGTCATCAAGGTTTATTTTTGGTTTAATCTACTTCCACTGTAAACATTGGAAAAATAATGACGAATGGGCTGACTGCTGTGCACACCACTTAAGCACGGTGTGAGTAGTAGCTCATATCTGCACACTTGACAACTATGAAATCCCACCTGATTTTACAGTTGAGGAAAGTGAGGCACAGAGCAGTTAAATAACCAGTCCAAGGCAATAAGAAAGTAGCAGTGGTGGGATTTGAACCCATGATGCTTCAGCTGCAGAGGCTGAGCCTCAGCTGTGTGTCTCAGTGGAAAGAAAAATTTTTGTGTGTGTGGTGCTGGGGGTGGAAGGCATGCTGTTCTAGGGCTCCAGTGCTGAACTATTTTATTTTAATTAATTAATTTTTTAATGTGGTGCTCAGGATCGAACACAGTGCCTCCCATGTGCTAGGCAAGCGCTCTTCCGCTGAGCTACAGTCCCAGCCCTCGCGTTCTATCTTGATGTTCATGATGTTTTCAGATATAGTTGCATCCACTAGTGTCTGGCGGCTGGACTGTGCTCGGCCTTGCAGGCATTTGTTGAGCTCGAGTTTTGTGCCACGCACTATTGTGGGTGCGAGGGGGTGTTACAGTAAATAAAACACCTGCTTTTGCGGAGCTTGCAGTCTAGGTGGAGTCATAGGGATGGTAGACAAAACCTAGACTAGCCAGGTATGGTGGTGTAATCCCAGCGACTCGGGAGGATAGCAAAAGGATAGCAAACCTGAAGCCAGCCTGGGTAGAAGAACTTAGTGAGACCCTGTCTCAGAATTAAAAAAAACAGCTGTATATGTAGTTTGGTTGTGAAGCGATGGGTTCAGCCCCCAGTCCTGAAAAAAAACCCAAACCCAAACCCAAAAGACTGGCTGGGGATTTAGCTCAATGGTAGAGAACTTGTCTAGTATGTGTGAGGCCCTAGGTTTGATCCCTGGCACTGGTAGGGGGTTGGTGGGGGGGAGAAGCAAGCTATAAATTATTTGATCTGTTCAAGGGGCATAAATTTTATGGTGGGAGGAAGAGGTGGTGATGGGAGTTGCAGGTTTAACTTAAGAGGTCAAAATATGCTACTTTGAGAAGGAGATACTTAAGGCAGCCTGAGGAAAGCAGTGAGGGAGTTGAAATAGTCAGTGCAAGGGCCCTGAGGCACAGTCAAGAGGGATGTGGGGCAGGGAGGAATAGTATTATAGGATTGGCCCTTACCTTCTGAGAACTTGGTGGTGTTGGTGAGAGATGAGACTGGTAATACCCTGAGACAGCTTTCAAGTTCAGAAATGTAGGAACTGAGAGAATAGGCCAGTGCGTATTTCAGGGGTTTTCCTAAAGCTTAGGGCAGGAGGGAGGCTCTTAGAGATCAGTAATGGCAAATATATGTGACAGGAGTCTACCTCGGAACCTCATATGGTAGACAATGCAGGTCACTGCTTTTACAGTGACCTTTAAAGTTGTACCCCAGAGCTTGTTGAAGTTGGTGGTGGAGTAGGTGATGGTACATCTAGGCCTGTGGTAAGGTCTGCTGACCCTCTGGGAAAGACCTTGAAGAAGGGTGGGGGTATGACTCAGAGGTGGACTGTTTGCCTAGCACGTGTGAGGCCCAGGGTTCATTCTTGGTACTGCAAAAAACAAACAAGAAAACAGCTTGGAGCAGGTCTGACTAGCAGGAGGAGCCATGGTAAGTCCTTGAGCAGGGATTAACGGGGCAGTTGAGTCTGGATCCCTACTGTGTGATTGACGTGGAGGAGGAGAGTGTCTTTGGTGATGCATAGAGTTGTTTGGAGGCAGCATCCATAAAGCATGGCAGAAGGCCCTGTCTCCGGCAGTCCAGGCCTGGGGTGCTGAGGGTGTGGGCTATATTGCTTGTGTAAGGGGTGGAGAAGAAGAAAGAACGGGTCTGAGCCTGTCCCTGAAGGGGAAGGGAGGGGGGCTGTGCAAGGTGACCCTAAGGTTTGGCCCCTGGGGTCAAGTAAAGTGAGGTGCCCTCAGCGGATGGGGGCGGGGTTGGCCATCAAAAGCTTTTTGCTGCTGGTGTGCGAGATAATGGTTTCTGAGGAGCCCTGGTTGAGACAATTGATACATCCCAGAGGTGTCTGGGAGTGGTAGAGGAAGCCATCCGGGGTCTTGGGCAATCCCTGCCCTGGGTTGGTGCTGTGCTGGAAAAACCGCATGAGTTTGAGGCTGTGGAAAGATGGGCATCCATGAGTCCCCCCAGGTGTGTGGAGTGAGAAGACGGGGCAGCAAATAGGGGTTCAGGCTTTGTGGTTAGCGGGCTGAGGGGGTAGGTGCAGAGGAGTCTGGGCCAGGAGCCTGGGTGAAGGGAGGGAGGAGAGGCCAGGGAGGCAGAAGTGCCAGGAGGAGGTTGGAGAGAAGCTGGTGCATCATCCGGAAGGGCCAGGACCCAGGAGGCTGGCAGTGTCTGCAGAAAGAACGCTGCACCCAGAGCTCGCCCGTCCCCAGCACCCAGCACCCAGCACCATGCAGCAGCAATTACTTGGGCCTGACCTTGTGTTTTTTTTTCAGTTCCTTCTTTCCCCCTCCCGTATGTTAATGAGGTCAGATTTCCTCCTGGTGCGTCTGGTCAACGTTTTGGGAGAGCTTTTGAGTGTGGTATTCATGTCACTTATCAAGTTATCAGCTTTTTTTTTACCTCAGTGTCAGAATGTATCAGGTTTTCACTCATTAAGAAGATTCTGAGCTCAGCAGAATACATTTTCTGTATTTGGGGATTTAATTAGCCTTAAACTTTATCTGGTGTGATTAAACTTACACGTTAATCAAAGGCTGTGAAGTGAGGTCTCCTGTTGAGCTTACTTTTAAGTCACGGTTTTTAAATGAGTAGAAACTGTTTTTCTTACAGTGAATTTCTAAGGGACCACTTGGCAGTTTATGTCCTTTAAAATTCTTGTCATTACAGTGGTGTTCTTTAAATAAATCACCTATGGAATATTTGTGCCGGTGACTCTTGTAGACATTCGTTACAAGATCACCCTGTGAGAGTCTTTTGGTGACTTTGTGTTCCTTTGAAACAGCAGTTAAAGCATTTTCTTTTTCAATAGGGTGAGTCTGAAGAGGATGTGGAGGAACCTTCTCAAGAGCAGAGGTATGATGTGCCAAAATGCATTCTACTGTTGTGTGTAACTAACTAAAACAAATTTGAAAAAAAGACAATTTAATAAATATTCAGAGACAAAAAAAGAACAGAGGTAAGGAAAAAACGGGGGGCCAATAGTTGCATGCTAAATTTCCTTGCCCTCTCTGGATGCTCTGAAGTATCTCTGAAGTATCTGTATGTACCTGTTTAACATAATTATCTGTAATAGTAATCTTTCTGTTTGGCCTTTGTGATTTCTAACAATTAATATGACTTTGTTTTAAAATAAGGTGGTACAGAAGGCTGTTGGAAAACCCCCTTGTTTTTGCCACACACCAGCCTCACTTCTCCCATGGCAGGCTGACGCCCTCCGTCTTCTTGACGAACATCTGTTGGGGTCGTGCACTGCTGGGTGCTGAACATTGACATATTGAACTAGACCTGCTCTGGGTATAACGGGGAAGTCAGACATCACTGTAAGCAAAATAATTGTGTTTATAAGAACTACTAAGCATTAGGTTCTTGTGGTAGACAGCACACAGTCAGGTGAAGTTCCTCTCAGGAGGTGACATTCCAGCTGACAATTGGAGAAAGTAGGAACAGCCACCTAGCAAGCAGAGGGCCAGTGCTTGGGGCAGCACGAATGGCAGGCACAAAGGCCCTGAGGTTGGAAGTGTGGCAGGAATCCCAAGACCTTTGGGGAAAGTTGGTGTTGGTTTGTAGGGTAGTGAAAGAGGTGTGCAACCTTAGAGGTCTCAGCAGAGAGCTTGAGTTTTATTTTTAATTGTGGTGTGAGTTCGTAAAGCAGGGAGCTATCAAATGAAAAAAATGTAAATTACATTTTTAAGAGAATATCTTGGGGCAGTTTTGATTAGTTGTCAGAGTAGGATTCTGGTCTCTTGGAGGTGCATGAAGACTAAGTGGCACTTAGTATGAGGATAATTTCAGAGAATTGGTTTCCAGATGCCCATAGAGTCTTCTGAAATCAATATGTCAGAGGTTGCAAGTTATTTTCTACGTCAATTTTCACAATCTCACGTCTCTAATTTCTTAAAATAAAGGCCTTTCTCTCACCCAGTCCTAATCCTGTTTGTTTCCTCTTGGGCAGACAAAGGGACAATTTGAAATTATTCTAGTTAAGACACATTCTTTTAAAACTCCTGGTTGTTTCCAAGTCCTTGCTTTAAACAGAATTGAAGGAGTGAGTATACAATCCAATTTGCAGCTTATGGATCATCAAAAGTTATGTTTAATGATAGGCCACTGTGTGGTTTTTGGAGTTTAGGTAATATGGGCCATTGCTCTAACAACTCGTTCTACTCACATCTGTTTGTGTGAACAAGCTTTTTCAAAACTTAGCATTAAAAAAATAAAAATAAAAAAGGACAGTAAAAACAAGATTGCATTGACGTTAACTAAACCTGTCTCATTCTAGCAGCAAATCATGTTCATATGAGCCCATTAGGGAGAAAAGACAGTTCTGTTGTCTCACTAAAGGATGCAGGTTCTTTGTTCCTTCCTGACCTAGGAATTGAACTCAAGGCCTTCCATATACCCGTGAGCAACACCTCAGCCCCTAGGATGCATTTTCAATCAGATTTTATTTATGTTTAATTACCTATCAGAATTTATTGGTTTGATCAGTTGTATGTTAATAAAAATCATAATGATAATTCAGAAAAAAATTTCAGCACTTAGATCCTGTGTTACAGGACATTTCAATTTATATCCATTGTTCTGTTGCAAAAGTATGAAAGGCTTTGGGTATAGTTTTTTTCTCTCTTTACTGGAAATTGAACTTAGTGCTTCACTTGGGCTAGGCGAGTGCTACACACAGGGTCTTGATAAGTTGCTCAGGCTAGCCTCAAATTTGCAATCCTCCTGCCTCAGCCTCCTGAGTAGTTGGGATTACAGGCCTGTGGCACTGTGCCCAGCTGTGTATAGATATATTAAGTTACATTTCTTTGGGGGAAATTGAATGAAAATGAATTCATGGAGGGAAAGGAGCAACATAAAATATCCAGGTACAGAGAGCCTCTTTGTATATTTTTAGAAATGCATAATGGTGGATATCATTGTAATGTTATTTAGATCTCATTGAATATATTTTAAAAATGATTAAGAGTTTTATTAGAAATATCAGTACAGTATGATGGGTATTTTTATAACCATTAAACTCATAAAATTTTCCACGTGGGACAACTTAAAATCCTTTTTGGATCTGTGGGACAAAACCCGGTGAGGACTGTGGGCTGGTTCAGGCTAGGGTGGTGATGGGGGATGGAGGGAGATGGGAAGTTATTTTTGGGGTGGGGTGAATTCATGGCTGTTGGATCACTGTGGCATATGCAGGAGAGAGAAATAGAGGTTTCTAGACTTTGGCTTGAGCATCTGAGAGGTGATGACTGTGATGGGAAAGGATTTAGTGGGAGGGGAATCCGGAACTCCGCTTGGTTGTCTCCTAGGCGTCTCAGACTTGATGTGACACGTCCGAGTGGAGGTGGCAGGTAGGCAGCGGGTGGTGTGCGTCTGGGTCTTGGGAGGCCTGGCCTGCGGACCCAGGTGTGGGCGAGCACAGCCGTGGGTGCCTGGCTGCCTGTGCCTTGGCATTTGTTCTCTTTTGTGGATGTGGTTCTTGCCTCTTTCTGGGGACAGCGGGCACTTGAACCCAGGGCCTCGCTGGTACTGAGCACCCCCTCTACCCCTGAGCCACAGACCAGCCTTCCTTTTTATTAATTAGAACTAGTTTCTTTTTGTCGATTTTCTAGTGAACTTAAAGGTGTATTAATAGGTTTCAGCCTCAATGATCTTTTGACGCAGCCTCGGATGATCAGAAGGTGTGAGTCACTAGGGAGCATTTCATGAATGATTTTGAATGGTGGCTTTCGAGCTCTTCGTGCTGACAGTAAGACATTTGCCCTCATAACTTTGTGCTTACAGGCATATAGAGAGAGATCTGTGAATACATACATGTACATATGTTTACTTAAAAAATGAATTAAAGTTTCACAAAATAGCGTTCACCTTTATTGTCTGCAGTGTACTCTATTTTCTATTTCATTTCATTAAAATCAATGTTGAAGGGCTGGGGCTGGGGCTCAGTGGCAGAGCGCTTGCCTAACACGTGTGAGGCACTGGGTTTGATCCTCAGCGTCACATAGAAATAAATAAAAAAATAAAAGTATTGTGTCCATCTACAACTGAAAACAAAACAAAATAGCGTTGAGGATTGCAGCCTGGGCAACTTAGTGAGACCCTGTCTCAAAATAGAAAATAAATAAATGAAAGGGCTGGGAGGTAGCTCAGTGGCCCAGCACTCTGGCTTTGGGCCTCATTATCCCCCTTCCCCACGTTGGTTGCCACCTCTTGATTTACTTATTGGTAATAACTTTATTGGGGTGTAATTCACATATCTTACAGTTCACCCTTTTTTAAAAGCTCATTCACCGAGTTGAAAAAATACCACAGTCAAATTTAGAACATTTTTGTCGTCCAAAGAAATGCCTTACACTCTATTCTCCATCCTCTCCCCCTTGATTTGAAAACTCAGTAGACGGTGGTTTATGGTTTGATCAGCCTTGCTTTATGTTTTATCTTCTTGATTTCAGATATTCCTGTATTTTTCTGTTATTTTTATTCTTCGTGACTTTCCTCGGACTCGACTTCTGGCCTCTTTGGCCCTCTGGGCTGTTCTGGGCCAGCATCTGCTCCTGCTGTATAAAGGCAGGATCATGACCTGACTGAGGTGCCGCTGTTAGAAAACTTTCCTTGTGTCCATTTTCTGAAAACGCAGACTCTAGAGCTCTAAGAATTACCTGAGTGTGATGTTTTGTTATTGGTTAGTCACCAAAGTATTTACTGTTTATTTACATTCTATTGCAGAGTTGGGATTTTTTTGGCAGGGATTGAACCTGGGGCACTTTACTGCTGAGCCACATTTCCAGCCTGTTTTTTTTTTGAGATAGGGTCTCACTAAGTTGCTTAGGGCCTCACTAAATGCACCACACCTGGCACTGTTAATTAATTTTTAAAATTTTCCCAAACCTACCTAGTGCCTTGCTACTTTTAAAGTAACCTTCTGCTTTAGGATAGATGCAAATTTATAGGAAAGTTACAAAGATCGTATCACATATCTTGTATGCTCTCAGTGTGCCTTTATTGTTAATGTCTTTTTTTTGGGGGAGCGACCAAGGGTTGAACTCGGGGGCACTTGACCACTGAGCCCCATCCCCAGCCTGCAGGCCTGCTCCACTGCACCCGACTTCCTATTGTTAATGTCTTACATGACTTTGGTACGTCGGTCACCACCGAGAAACTACCCTTGGTACATTATTGCACTGAACCCCACACTCTTCAGTTTTACTCGTGTTTGCCTGATGTCATTTTTGGAGGCAAGTCATCAAGTGGAGTTGAGCTTCACCTACTCAGATTATTGTAAATTCTGAATGGGAGATTCTTCTCTTCCCTTATTTAGGCGATCATTCATTTATATCAGTGTAGATATGTATACTTTGGTTTACAACTGTTTTTTAGCAAAACCCCAAAGTTCCTTGTCGCTGATAGGGTCTTGCACTTTCAGACCTGGGGTTCTTGGGTTCTGTTCCAGAGTCCCTTCTAGGGGACCTCATTACTTTTGGTCATTATGTCTCCTTAGGCTCTTGGTTGTTCATTTATCAGCCTTTCCTTGTTTTAGATGACCTTGAAAGTTTTGAGGAGTAGGGGTCAGATGTTTTGTTAAATGTCCTTCAGTGTGGGTTTGTGAGGTATCTTTCTCATGGTTACATTGGGGCATGGGTTTGGGGGAGGCAGACCACATAAATAGGTTGCCCTTGTCATCCTGTTATGTCAGAGGTGTGTACTATCAGCATGAATTATCACTTTGGTGTTAACCTTCGTCACCTGACCAAGGTCCTTTTTGGAGTCAAATTATTAAGTGGAAACTAAGCCACATATGAACACAGTTTTTGAAATTCTTCGGTATGGGAGGGAATTTGTCTAATCCCTCTTAT